AAAGTACATGTATTATTAAAAATATTTTTTTTAAGCAGTTTTATTTATATATTGTGAAAAATCTAAAAATAATCTTGTAACTTGCCAAAGAGTGTTACAAGTGACAGGAGCAGACAGCAGACAGCATGGAATTCACAAAGGACAAAATTGTTGAGTCTTTTGACCAGAATCTGAAAGATATTTTTAAATTTCACCTAAAAGCTCAACAAGTAGAAGGTACTACTTGTATTTTAAATAATATACACACATTGGCCATATTACCAACAGGGTATGGCAAAAGTAGATAGATAGATAGATAGAATTTTTTATTTGGAACGTACCAATGAAAACTTGAGTAAAGTCCAAAAATAACAATAACAAAACAAAACATTCAGAACAACAAAAACTTTCAGTATTAATACATATCAAGAATATAGAAAATAAATTTTGCAAAAATGCTAAGAATGAAAAAATCATTACTTGAAACAATAATAGGAAATAATTCATCCATGCTAAAATCTTCCAGCTTTGGGGCATAGATGTATAAAGCTGCAAGGAATCTAGATCTTTGTTCTTTGATTTGACAATTATTACAATATAAAATGTAATGTTTCTCATCCCCTACTTCATTGCATTCATGGAGATTACATAGCCTGTTTTCCTTCAAAATGCCTTTATGTCTACCGGATTCAATGGGAAGAAAATGTGCAGAAGTTCTAAATTTAGTATAAGCTATTCTATGATTTTTATTTTAAATTTTTTCCAAATAATGTTCAAATTCAAAATTTTCTTTAGCACACCTGTAAAAGTCAAGCTTACAATTGTTCAACAAATTGTTTTTCCACTTCATACGGTACAAACATTTGAGCTTCTCTTTAAAAATATCACAAAAAAAGTATGATGTATATTTTACCACCAATACTCCTCAATATTATGCGGAAAGAGACAACAAGCCAACGGGGTAATGGGTTTCAGCTTTAGAACATTCACTAATGCATTGTCAACAGTTTCCGAGGTTTTAAGTCTAGATGCAATGGATTGCCTGCGATACCGTTTAACTTTCTTCTGGAACTCATCTCCACAATGAATGCAAGAACCTGCCATTCTCAATTTTCAGTTAAAATGTCAACTGCGCATGTTTCGTCGTTGTCATGCGATCAGGTCACATGACAGAGGTCATCTTGAAATCCGTCGTTCAATCGATTAAATTACGTTCGGTCTAATTATACACAGAAATATATACTTTTCAAGAAGAAATAGTCCTTCATTTTCGGTCAGTAGATACCTAAGATGTTTGTGTTTGCAAGGATAACTTTTATTCGTTTTAAATTTCATTGAAATCGTTCGATAACATCAAAAATAGCGTGCGCCCCGGGATCCCGGGGCGGCGAACTGTGCGGTTCTCAATGGACGCGATCTGCAGCTCTATGGCCGCAACGTAATATCAAAATAGCTTAAGCGGCCAATAAGAGCTGCTAAACTGCAGCAAGGCTTAGGTCCATGTCCGAATGATAAAAGTCAAATGATCGACGTACTCTGAATTCAAAACATTGGCAAGACAATTGACTGCGAAATGCACACGCATAATAGATAATAGAAATCTTAGAAGTATAAATAACCTACCTTCATTGCAAAACCGGCAGTAAAATTGCCAAGAAGAGTTTGTATTTTTCTATCATTTCCCGCGGGCGGCCATGTTGTACTCCCTAACTTTGTAGTCATTCTATGGTGACTACCTAGACAAACTGTTATTTGAGTGTTTAATACTATAAGTCATGCCGTGCCACGATTAAGGATGCTGTACACGTTTTTTTGCTTTGAAACCCAAAATTCTACTTTTTTGTATTTTTCAATGCTGGACTACAAGGAGCAAACACTCAGTAGGAAAAAAAAAGTGAATTGGATGTTTTTATATGGTGTAAAAATC